GTGGTAAAGTCATCTTTCATCTCATTAGCCATTAATAAATTTCTTATAGCCATTTTCACAGGGAGTAGTTCTCAGGGACATTAGACCCAATGCTTGTTCATTTCTGGTGTAAATATTTGCTATTGTTATGCATTTTTTATTTCTCAAGAATTTTTATCACCAAATGATATTTGATATTATTAATAATAATCAATATTCCTGACTGGCAACATTTAATAATCACTCAAAAATCAAAGAGTAACAACTATTGTGTGTACTTTTCTTTTTATATTTATTGAAGGATGATGCAATCATTTCACCATGTTTTGTCATTCTAAAAATATTGCATCCTACTTAGGCGCAAAACTTATTCAATAAATTTACTTATAAACTGTGATGCTTATGTATTATGAGAAAATTTCAAGCTGTGTGCCCAAGTGGTAAAATCGCTAAATGCTCGTAGTTTGACCTGATTTCAAATCCCAATGAATGGCTGTATGGGAGTTTTTGTGGTTTTCCTCATGTGTTACATGAATCAGAGCCAGTTTTTGTAAAATGTCCTCCACAAAGGCATTCTTTCCCTTAGGTAGATAAATAGTCCTATGTGCTTTGCCATAATCGAAACTCAAAATTTTTTTGTTGTAAATGGCAACTCAAAAAGGCTTAATATACACTCTTGCAAAAACATCAAAGCACCAAGAAGGACTTTTGTGATCATGACAAAATTTGGTATGCAAAAACATCTTGATCGAACATGCAAATGATCAAAGTTCCAATGCAAATGAGCAGGAATTATGATCATAGTGTGCATTTCGCAAAGTATAAAACCAGTAATAGTGCCGGAATTTTTTTTTTTTTTTTTTTTTTTTTTGTTGCTGCAATTGTAATTCCATAAACAAATACCTAAAGATGTCATTACAATGATATCAAAGAACTTACAGACAACTAAACGACTTCGAACGTGGTCGCATTGTAGGGTTGCGCGAAGCTGAGTGATCATACCGAGCAATAGGCCGCCACCTGCAGCGTACAGACACTGTTGTGCAAAAATGTTGGCAGCAATAGTTACTACAAGGAAATTGCCGATGAAATGAAGGCTCTGGAAGGCCAAGAAGCACAAATGTGAGGCAAGATAGGATGATTGTTCGCCAGGCCATCTAAAGAACCTCACAGAAGCCTTTAAGACGTTTGCCTTTGACCCCACAAAATTGGCGTAGTCGTCTGGAGTGGTGTCACAGCCGATCATCATGGCTGCCACCAGACTGGCATCGTATAGTGTTCAGCAATGAATCTTGTTTCACTCTTGAAGCAGATGACCACCGTGTTCGTGTCTGGAGAAGATGGGGTCAAAGGTCCCGATCAGCCTTTGTTTTACAAAGGCATACAGCCATAACCCCTGGTGTGATGGTGTGAGGTGCTATTTCTTATGACAGTAGGTCATCTTTAGTCATCCTCCGTATATCTTTAACTGCTCAACAATATGTTGACACCATCCTGCGGTCGGTTGCATTACCCTTCATGGCATGTTATCCTGGGACTATTTTCCAACAAGGTAATGCCAGGCCACATATCGCTTGCATAACTCTGGACTGTCTCCGTGTGGTTGATACTCTTCCTTGGCCAGCAAGGTCACCAGACTTTTCACCAATTGAGTATGTCTGGAACAACGTAGGCCGCCAAATTCGGGCACCACAAAATATCACAGATCTGGAGTGCCAACTGATAAATGCCTAGCAGAACGTGTCGCAGGTTGACATTAGGAACCTCTACCACTCCTTGCCTCGACGAATTCAAGCATGCATTGCCGCCATGGGCGGTTCGACCAACTACTAATTTGAACACTCAGTGGATAATTGTGAGCTGTGAATAGGTACTATGGCCTTGATTTTTTAATCATTTGATTATCTATGTATGAGCTATACACATATTCAATTTCATCAAAAACAACCACTTCCTTCATGGTGCTTTGATTTTTTTTGCAAAAGAGTGTATTTTCAGAAATATAGTCATACCTCTATTTCATGAACGCTCTCTCTATTTAGCAAAGTTTTTCATGAGATTGTAGCAGAGTTGTGAACTTCCTTGTATTAAAACCCCCAAATATCAAAGTGCACTGTCTATTAAAAATTTTGAAATGGATGATTTTTCAAAATTTTTCTTTCTACTCTAAAATTACTTATTTATTTGTTGTGACATTACATGCACCTGAGGTCCTAAAGGTAAGCAGGCGCCTCTTTATCTGTTGTCACATTCTATTATCAAGTAGTCAGAGAAGGAAGATTCTTGAATGGGAAATCATTTACCCACTCTATTGATACAAATTCCCCAACCAAGCTTATTTTGCTAACCTGTTTAAGGTTAAGTAACAGCTGCACATTATTTTTATTTCTGCCTTTCATGATTTTATACTGCAAATCTTTTTAAAAATTAGTTGTGTATTGGATGATAAAAATGTCTAAAAGAAAGTGCCTGACACTTAAAGAAAAAGTGCTGATTCTAGATGAAGTGGACAGAGGTGTGAAGAAGGAAGGTATTGCCATAAAATTCAGTATTTTGCAAAATAGTTTATCGAACATCTCAAAATATCAGGACAAGATTTCATCAAGCTTTGATTCCACATTCCAAGTGCCAAATTTAAGAAAATGTGCATTTGTGAAGATGTCGATCAAGAAACGTTAAAATAGCTGTGCAAAGTGAGAGAAAAAAAGCATGCTGGTATCACAGCCATGCTATTAGAAAAAGCTACTGTATCTGAAAGTGCTTAAAGGCAAAGTGAATTTCATATAAGCAATGGGTGACTGAAGAAATTAAAAAAAAAAAAAAAAAAAAAGACATGTAGTAGGTACAGAAATCACACACGGTGAAAGCAAAGATGTTAATGTAGGACAGTGTCATATGGAAAGATCAAAAGCTAAAAGAAGTAATGGAAATCAACAAGCCAAAAGATATCTTCAGTGGCAATGAAACCAGCTTAATGAACATTAAAAAACAAACATTAATGAACATTTGAATTAACATCAACATTCAGAAAAGAGAAATGCATTGCAGGCAAATTTAGAGTTACTGTGCTGTTATGTGCAAATATGGAAAAAAAAAAAAAAAATGAAAAACTGAAACCTTTACTTATTGGAAAGACTAAAAGTGCAAGATTTATAAAATCATTGGAATTAATGATTTCAGCAAGAACTCATGGATGACCTCAGACATTTCTGAAAAGTGGCTAAAAATTAGATAAATACATGGCTGTAGAGAAACGAAAAATTGCTGTAGTGATAGACAATTGCAGTGACAAAGACAAGTATAAAATCCCTCTCAAAGACAAGTATAAAAATGTGAAGGGTTTTTTTCTTTCCTCCAAATACCACTGTAAAACTGTGGCCTATGGATCAAGAAGTGATAAAAAGTATTAAGATGCATTATCACAAAAGAATTTTGAAGAATACCCTAATGGGGATTAAAAGTAATCAGCCTTTATGTGTAATAAGGTTACATGCCTGCATGTCTGAACTTGCAAAAGTATGGAATTATGATGTTATGGAAAAACTGTTTGTAATTACTTCAAAAAAGCTGGTTTCATCACCAAGACTAATACTACTGATAACAATAGTGTCATTGATGAAACTGGATAACTGGTTGCAGTTGGAAAATCAATGACAATTCAATAATAATGAATAATAACAAGATTATTTATTTATAGATGCTGATGGTGAGACCTTGAGAACCCCTACTGAGGAGAAACATAATACAGACATTTCATACCACAAAAAATAGCAGCCAGCAAGCAATGAATGACGAAGGTGATGATAATGTTAATAAAAGTGAGTGTACAAAATCTTTGTCAGAAGATATGTTAAATGCGTTTGATACCATAGGATGCAGTTTCCAGTTTTGGAAGACATTTTTCATGCATTACAAAGATGTGAGACTTGTTGTGTCATGAAACATTGCTCCTGACAATCAAAACAAACTAAAATTACTGATTATTTTTTAATGAAAATATGTAATTTTCATATATAACTTTGGTGGAATGAATAGATTAATTTATGTAATTTTGCATTTATATTTCATTTTACTACTACTGTGCATTTAAAATTTAAAACATTCTCATCTTAAATCATGCTTTATTATAAGCTCCATTTTGCAAATTCCTCTCTTAGCAAAGTTTTTTGTGGGATTCTATCACTTCATTAAACTGAGGTTTGACTGTAATAGCAATAATTTGTCTTCTTCAAAATCATAATTTTGTTCTTGTCATAGATACAGTGATATGATAGTGTCCAGTATTCAATATTTAGAAACATATACGAGTGCTGAACAGTAGTTTGGAATTAAAACATTATTTTTTATCTATCCATTTCATTTATTGCTTTTCACTTGCACTTTTTCTGACTTGACTGTTTTCCCAAAGTTTTAGCAGTAGTATGACAAAAGCCTTTGTTAATAGCAGAAGTTCTTAATCAATTTATTTCCTCACCATTAGAGTACAATCCTGGTGTAAATATATGCATGAACACTTTGTTTTGATTTGAAAATCTGATTATATTAACAGTAGCATTAACACAGCAGAATGTAACAAATTTAAAGGTCTTAACTTTTTCTTTCTAGGAAACTGAAAAGTTTGTCCTCATTTTACGTATTTTATTAGCTTTGTGGATTTTAAACTTATTGTTAATATTTATATTAAGATCAAACTAATGAATTATGCATTGCATCTACTTGTACTTGAATTTGACATTTCATATCCCTATCTGAAATGTGAGTTTTTCTGCGATACTTTGACTTTTTTTAATGACACAACACTTCCACTGAAATTCCATTTATTTAAATTCACTAGAATTAATTCTCATATATATTTCACGATGTTAATTAAAATATTTTAATGATACTCTGAACAAAAATGTTTTAAAGCTCCCCCCAAAAAAATTAGTTTTCAGCTATTTGAAATATATTCCACATAAATCATAACTAAAAATGACAAAAGGGATTTGATTCTTAGCACAGGTTTCATGCAATGCTTTTAGGGTTCGTTATCGTACAGAACTGTTTTATGCAAATCAGAAGGAACGTCGAGAAAGAATGTTAAAACTACGGGAAGAAGAAAAAGCACGACAACAACGACTTGACCAGTTACGAAAACAGGTGGGATAAATAACGTAAGATAATTTTTTTTTTTCCCTATTCTGATTGAAGATAATTATTACTAATTACTATACAGTAGATGCATTTTATTATGTACTAATATAAAAAATTTTAAATATTATGGCTAAACATTGTAACATCATATGTTTGTAACATCTTTTTAACATAATTTATTTTACATATAATATACAAGGCATAGCCAAACTGTAGCTGTATGATAGCTTAACTGTGGCTCATGAGCTATTTGTGTACCTTTGGGCTTTTAAATGCAACTTTCTTGCAACAAACAGTAGTTTAATTATTGAAATGGAAATCTATAGTAATCATTGTAACATTTTTTATTCTATGTTTACTTTTGTTTCAGACGGTTTCTGTTTGCCTTTTTTAAGTGTTATCCCCTTGCTTCATAACAAAATTTGAGATCCAGTGTCTCAGACTTCCTATTCCTTTTAGGATAATACTTTTATTGAGCCCTTGAATGGCTTGGATAATTGCTGCAGGAATTTCTTTCACAGGGGAAAATTGTTCTCCATGCATGGCTCTTTCACTTTGGGGAATAATTTGGAATCTGATTTTATGGTTGATAAGATAAATACCACTAATTCATGGTTAAGAGATGTATCACAACTTTCTCATACGTAGATATTCTTTAAAATTTTCTCTCCATCCCTAACTAAATCAGCTCCATTTTATGCAAATGCTTTCACAATTTTTAATACCACTACATTAGAATGCTGCAGATATGCTTTTCCACCTGCAACTCTATTTTCTCTGATAAGGTAATTTTCTTGTGTTACTAAAATAGTGAAGCACTTACACCAGTCAAGAATGATACTGATGATTCAGACTGAATCCTGTGAAACTGCAGCCATATTCTTTTTTGAATGAATTCTTTTATATTGGGCATTAATAAAATTAGTCATTCAAAGGTTTTGAGTTAAAATGTTCAACTTTTTCTTAGGTTGAGATTCAAAAGATGTAAAATACTCTTAAGATTAAAGGTTTGGAATTAAAAATCTTTCTTAAATTTGTACAGTCTGAGGATTCAAATGTCCCAAACTTAAAAAACAAGATGTAACTTATTCAGTTTGCATTTCATGAAATAATTCAATTATTTGAAATTGGATTTAGTTTCAGTATGTTGGTTTTTCAGTTAATGTTGTGGGAAAACAAAAATATTGACTTATATGCAAAAGCCTAAAAGATCTGATAGGGTTTTTTTTTTTTTTTTTTTTTTTTTTAATTCATCTTGAATAACAGTTTCTCTTCAATGCACACTGTCCAGTACAATTTATTTTATTCTCTTGAAAAAACTGCATATGAGCTTAAAAAAAAAAAATTATTCAGTTTGTTTTTAAAATTAGCAATTTATTCTTCACTTGAATGAAAAACAGCTTGCATTACTGTAAATTATAAGAACCAACACATATTCTTTTGATTTTAGTTTACTTTTATTAAAACCAGACAATAACTATCAATTGGGGTGGATAAAGGAAAAAAGAAGAAAATACTTGGTTTCCTACCCGAAAGAAGAATGCTTATTTGAATCACACAATATTTCAAATTGATATTTCATTGGGACACATTTTTCTGATCACAGAGCATGAGAAATAAGATATATATATTAATAATTAATAACCACATGAATTACATCAAAAGTGTATAATTCTGATTTATTTATTCCAAAACATTCTTTAGATTCAAAAACCTGTCTCATTATTTTTGGCACAATATAAATATGGATTTGCACATCTTGAACTTTCATGAACAATACCATGGAGCCCTATTATATACAGTTGAATTCCAATAATCCTTCAATGTCTACAATCTGAGCTTATTTTTAGACATTTTACTCTTCAGATAATTCAGCATATCAAACTAAATGGCAGATTTTCCCACATGTATATGCATATAAACCATTTAACAAAATATATTGTAAGATATTTTGCCACTTAATGTATTAGTACAACCACCTTAGTAGAAGCTGCTGAATTTTCAGAATGTGCCAAATTCTCGTAATCATACACACAGCAGTTCAGGCAGCCAATATGCATATTAATTTCTTGCTTTTAACAAGCAACATACTCTTCATATGCATTCTTTTTGTAATATACTAGCATGTTTTATTGAAAATCATGATATTTTATGACTTAGTTTTAGAAAAATACAACTGTGGTATTTGCCTGAAAATCTTTAAAAGAAACAACTACTTTGAATATATTCTTAAAATGATAGCTACAAATTTTTCACCAGAACAAAAGAAATAAAAACCTGTTAGTGGGTTAAGTTTATTAATTGATTTTTGGATAAATACCTAATTAAAGCATAAAATAGATATGTAATAACTAACTTTTTGCAGTTATAAGTTATCATTCTTTTCCTTCTGTAAAAAAATTGCCAAACTATGAATAAATTATAGCAATAATATGCAAATGTCCATATCTTAATTAAATAAAAAATATTTTATTGAAATTATTTAGCATTTTTTACACGTGTCAGTGCTTCTGTTTTACAGTAAAAACAGATTATGAATCTGTGCCTCAAAATATTTTTTTTTTTTAAATTCTTTGCCCTAACTACCAGTATTCAGCAATCTTAAGCACTGGACCACTGATGGGAAAGCAACTATACAGACTTTCTGATGCTAAAATCTGAAATATAATTAAGAGAAATGAGCAAAAAATATTTATAATTAAATAATTAATGGGTAGAAAAATTCCTTTATTTCTTGACAAAACAATGCTTTTCTACTAGAAAAATTATTTTTAAACACAGATGAATTGGCACAGTAAGTGCATTTGTTCTTGATCACATTCATACTTTTTTTGCATCTTCATAACAATTAATTTCACTACAGTAAAGAAAATGTAACAGCAGAGAACAAGCAGTTTGGCAGGACAGATTTGAAAGACAGAATCTGAAGCATCTAAGATAAAAGCTAAGTTCAGAATGCTAATTCAGAAGTCAAACAACAAAAATCAGTGGTATATTTTCAAATTTTCACAGGACTAGTTTCAATGATTTTACCGAACCACCATCGTCAGCTGCAAAAGCGCAAATGAACGAGATAGGATATAATGATCAGATAAGATAAGAAAGCTTGGACGAAAATAAGCTAGTAGCGCCATCTGTTGATGAAACCAGAACTAAAGCATAATATTTTTAAAGGCCGAAGGCTGGATTCCATCTTTGCCTTCGGCCATTTTTACTTTTCAAATTTGAAATTATTATTAGCTGAAGCATTATATAAGTGCCCATGTTGTTAGCACTGTGCAAGAATAATATCACATGGATTAATTTTAAAAAAAGTGCAGTTTAAAGAGATTTCATAGCTATCTGGAATTTTGTGTGTTAATTAACAAAGTGCATCTTTTATTAATGAAAGAAAATAGGAATTTTATACAAATAAAATGCATTTATTAATAAATTAAAAAATAAAATACATTTATTACTATAAATATTACTTTTGATGATGCAGAAATTCTGAACTCTTTTCCAAGTCTCATATTTATAAAGATTTGGAAAAAAAAAAAAAAAAAAAAAAAAAATTGTGCATCGTTAAAATTTAAGCACTTAACTAAAGCAATTAATATTCTTCATTCAGAACCAACAAATTAATTACAAAATGCTGATCAATAAGTCAATATCAAACAGTTGAGTGCTTTAAAACAGATCCACATTAGGATATAAGTGAGGAATATTCTTGTGTGCCTAAAACAAGTACTATTTATGCTATAGCAGCTTTTGTAGTGATGTGTGCATGAAGTTACTTTTTTTTAAAACATATATTAACAGTGCTTAAATTTATTTAGAAATTATTCATAAAATCCATAATGCTTATTTCAGTTTCAATTTATGCTTAAAATCAGAAACATGGTACACTGACAATTTATCATATGTGCATTTAGTTTTACTTCAACCAAAAATCACATTTTAAATAGCATCTACTGTATTTGTTCATAATTCATATAGTTTAGAAAAATGCAGCATTCTATAAAGTTTAGAAATGGAATGCCAATGTAATCACTAAATTCTCATTAAGATAATTTTCTAAGTATTTCCAAAATAAAGAAATTTCTCATATAAATTTAAAATGTGTTTTGAAAGGATTAATTTAGTCTAAAAATGTATAAACATCTGAAAAAACGTTAAGTACTTAATTTTGTTGTCATCCTATAAATAAGGATGTATCCAGTTATCCTGAAAAGACAATTTAGGTAAATACAGTCAACTCTTGATTAATTGGGGCTTGAATAAAAAAAAAATCTGTTAAGTTTGTTTATTGCCGATACTATCACAAATCGTCCAAATAGAGTAAAATGTTCCAGGGGGATACAAAAAGAAGAAAATATGAGATAACAGCAATGACAGCAGATGTTACAGTAATTGTTAAATATTTGTCTACAACAGTAATTAATTAATGTGTACATTTTGGAGTATATAAAAATTATTAAATTACTTGTTAAAAAATAAATTGTTAAGCCAAAAAAGTGTAACAACATTAATCTTTTGTTTCGCATTGAAATACAATATAAACATTGTTCTTTCTATTTTGAATGCTGACTTAATTTACATAACCATGTGAATGTATTCTTAAAATCAAACTGCTTAAAAAAAACAGGTAAATGTTAATAGCATTTTTCTGTTAATTAAATATGAACTATTTCTCCAATCTTGTATTTTTCTAACTGTCGTCGAATTGAATAAACCATGGACATCATCCTCAATTAATCAGAAGTGTACCTAAGATACGAGCAAAAGTTAGTGAAAAGTATAATGAATTTGATTTTGGCGATTATTTTGTAATGAAACTTTTTGTTGAAATATAACATATTTTCATTTCACTTTATAATAACAAACTTTCAGTTGTGCTAAATTGAAATGAGCTGAAACAAAATGGTTATTTTTTATCATATCATATTGTTGTTATTTGGTGTTACTAATTAAAATATTACATTGTTACCATAATGCATAAGATTCACAGTAGATATTTAAACTTGAATAAATGCAGTAAACATTAGGGAGAGAGGTAAAAAAACCTCATGTTTTAGTTAAAAATGAGGATATCTTCATATATTTATTTTAAAATAGTTAATTTTATAATAGAAGCATACAGTTTAATTATAAAATTCCTTATTTATGAGTAATGATTTTTATTTATAAAGAAGTGCAGAATTTGGGGTCATCATTATAAAATTATAAATGCAGAATTTCTATCTTGATTAATTTTCATCTTTATGGCCACTAAATTACGAAAAAGAGGAAGATTAAAAAAGAATTTTTGGAATTATAAGTATCCTGTATTTATTATGTCAAGATAAAAAGTGACTGTTTCATAGGGGAAAAAAAAAAAATGTACTCATAACAAATTTCATGGAATCCATACTTTGAATTAGAAAACTTCGAAATAATGTATTTATATTTTTAAAATTAGAATTTATCATAGCTTTGTATATTTTAGCTTGAAACTACTTGCAAAGCACAATATAATACTGCTTGGAAGCACTGTACCCATTTGTTCAGTTGCCATGTTAGATTAAGTATAATTTTGATTAGTTTGCTTATTTTGTGCACACTTCACCCATCGCTTCCTGTAACAGGTGCAAGTGAAAACAGACCGTGACCCTGAAAGGATTCAGCAGGATACTGTTGCTTCTCAGGCCCGTAAAGAAGCATCCGGTGAAGGACTTGCTCTGAAGGCTTTGCACGAACTACGCACTGTTCTTGATGCTGAGGTAGCTCACATTTCTTTCAGTTCAACTTTCCATCTCACTTTATGGAATTTTCTAATGAGTTAATGTTATAAAACCAAACAAAAAAAAAAATATTTGATGCTGTTCTACAAATTTCCACATATTTTATGCTTTATTTTTAAATATCAGCACTTTTATTCCTTTGCAAAAACGACAAAACCACATGCACAGCTTAATACAACATTGCTACTCTCCTAACTGCACAGAACATTGCCTTAAATTTATTACTCAGAACTTTCTTATGTGGGTTTCTCATTACTAATAGCTAAATGCATTTTTTAAGTTATAAGGTTTAAAACACATTATAGACTAGCCTTCGTCTGGTTTTTAAATGTACCGGAAAAATGCCTAAAGGGAACATCAAACATTAAATTTAAAAACTGCACAGAATTTTACTCTGCAGAACAACTTTATCAAATAAATAAATAAAATAAAAAAAAAATTGAAAGGTTTCAGATTTTAAATTGCATCTAAAGGAGTGTTTTTTTTAACATTTTATGTGTTACCTTTATTTATAAAATATCATGTTCTTTGCACTTGAACCATAAAACTCAGTCCAAGAGTAATATTGAAAAATAATTTTAAATTGAGCATATCTTTAGAATTTCCAATACACAGTCTCGCATGCTGGAGATAAAATTGTTTTTTCTGTACAATGTTGCCATTGCTCGCTTTGAAATATTCAACTTTATTAATCAAAAATTCATTAAAGTTTCACAAAATATGAAATCGATGGAGGAAATTATGGTCTAGAAAATCATAAAAATGAACTAGAATAATTACAGAAGCAGAAATAAAAGGTGATTAAAAAGGAAGAGAAACCTAGTTTTTTTATCTTTGAAATTTGTACAAAATAAGAGGCAAAATTTCATATAATATCATCGTCCCAATAAAGCAGTAACAACCTACAACATAAGCAATTTCAGTGACAACACTATGTTTTACTTTAAAATATTTCAAAACATTGACTATGATAAATCACACTGGACAAATTTTAAGTGAAACAAAGTCTAGTTAATCTCATGCAGAATCAAAAAGCTTTAATAAGGGCTGGTAAGAGAATGACCCAGAAAGATAGTTAGCTGATGTTTTTATCCAAAGAGTAATATCTCCTCATTACTTACACTATATTCTTTCCTTTTTATGGTGCAGTGGAGTGTTCAAAGAAATTTCACCATTTTCGTCGAACATAAAACTATTCATTTTTCAAACTTGCAGAAAACCAACACATTTCTAGCATGAAAATCTTCTAACGTGCATTTTTTTAAGTGTAAGAAAATTACTTTTTTCACTAAATATTTAACTAGTAGTGTATAAAACGCAAAGACATTGCAAGTCTTACACTCCTTACCTCACAGGGAAATTTTTGAAGAAAGAAAATTTTTTTTTTAGAATAAAATGTTAATAAATCATTTTTAGGTGAGGATGTAATATATTATTTTACAGTAAAACTTCTTTTGATTAATACCATATGCAGCCAAGCTTTCAACAAGCAAATCGTTTGTCTCCTACAGGGAGCTCAAAATGTTCCTTTTATTAGAAGACTGATTTCTTTGAGATATGTTCTGTTTAAAATGATGCATCAATAGACTAGTGATGAAACTTCTTCTTTCTTTTGCATTTCCATGATTTTGTGCATCTGATTATGCTCATTATTTGGGTTTCTACTTGCAAATAGCACTTCAGTTTGTTTTTCATTTAATAAATCGAACAGATTCAGTTTTTTTTTTTTTTTTTTTTTATTATTATTATTTTGATTGTAGTCTATTTTTATTTTTTTATTTCCACTATTACTCTTAGTTTCTGAATTATTTTATCAACTGTCAGTCCATTTGGTACCACTTCCTATATTTGGTTCTCACCAGCATATCACCAATCATAATCGGAACTATAATACTCATCTAAATAGTCATTCAGCATTTTGCCATCTGGATCAAAAACTGGTTTAGAAATTACTTTAGCAAATAAGGATTTTTTCCCTAGCCCTTTTCCTTCTTATGTGAGTTAACTCGATCATTTTTTTCTCAAACTCTTATTTAGAATCACTTTTAGAATTCATAACCTGATTTTTCAGAAGCATTATATAATAATGATCATTAAAAACCACTTCAAGTTCTTTTCTCTTTAAAAATTTCAAGCACCTTTAATTCATTTTTTTCTCTTCCTAACCCCCTTTTTTTTTGCCTTTTAATGTATTCTTCATGCTTCTTTCTTTTACTATCAAACCTGAGAGAATCTGCAATCGTCCTTGGATATTGTATAACGAATTCTAAATCTGACTCTTTAAATTGGAAATTATACTTATGTTCAAATTCCTCCTTTTACATATCTTTTTCATCATCACGCAGCACTGCAATATCTATAATTTCTTCATAAATAGGAATCTCATAACTTTTATCTTTTTCTTTATACTTCTTATCTGAAACAAAATCTCGCAAAAATTTCTCATTTTCATCCGAATTTGGATCATTCCAAAACTTTCCGAGAAGTACGTCTTTCTTAACATCTCTTCCTTCTAAGAATTTTGAAATACTTTCTTTTTTGTCCAAAGCAACAGATTTTCATACTTTTCTCAGTGACAAGACTGGTTTCATTGCAGAATTTGCCTGTGTAACAGTTGTAGAATCTGATGCACAAATACCATTTAAAAATGCAGTTTTCCTTTCTAGAATGTCAAAAGCCAAAGCAGGTTTCTCATGCAGTTACTCAGCAGTTACATCTTGCTATACACCTTACTGCCAAGGGCTTTACCTTTTTCCGGATACTTTTTGTAGATAATACCACAGCAATCTTATCAGATACAAAATATGATCCTTTTGTTAGTCAAATTGTGCTTTGTGACGCTGTCGACATGTTCACCGAGTGCAGACCAACCCCTTTTTCGGCCTGTGTTGTTGAAGTAAATCCACTTTTCATCACAAGCGATGATCCGGTCCAGAATTTTGTCACTATGCATTGATATTCAAGCAGATTAGTGCAGGCCTGAACATGTCTGTCCTTATCTGCTTTCACCCAGTGATTGAACTTGTACGTTAAGTTTGTGCGATGCATAGCGCGACTAATGGACATGGCACTAACGTCTTAGCAAGCTCTCGAGTGGTTGCATGCTGATGTTCTTCCACAAGTTCTCACAGGCGGGCCTCATCAACGCCAGTTAGTCGGCCCGAGCACTCTGCTTCTTGAATGTCATAGTCCTTGTTTTTGAATTTTCAGTACTAAACCTTCACAGTGCCATACAATACAACGTTAGTACCTAAAGCTGTACACATGATTTGGTGACATTTTGTAGCTGACTTTTTGCAACAGAACTGGAAGTAAATGATGGTTCTAATCTGGTAACGTGACAGTTCTATTTCAGACTCCTTGTACTTAATGATAACAATATTTTTTACATATTTCACAATAAGGTGTTCTAAAGCAAGTCTATTTCTTTCAAATGCCAAAAATCATTTGACAAAACATGATTAAAGACACCAACGCAAACTGTTTGCACAGACGATATATGTGGTGGCGGGAAACCTTTTCGTTAAAACCCAATAAAAATATGGTATGTGAAGTAATGCGTAAAAGAAATTCTAGCATAAAACAAATTCATTAACAGAATTTCTTTTACAGTCATTTTATATTTCATATTGCTTAAAAGAATAATGAACCAGATCTTGTTCGTTATCCACAAGATTAAAAAATTTCAAAGTTGTAGGTTTTAGCTCCTGATATATATATATATAGATAGATAGATGGTTTTAGTTTTGTTTATTTGGTTATGGCAAAGCACTCGAGGGTTATCTACCTAAGGGAAGGGATGCTTTCATGGAGGACTTTCTATGGGAAATTGGCCCGTATACACGTTACACATGGGGAGAACTACAAAAATGCCCATGCAGCCATCCCGTTTGCAGTATTCGAACCTCTGACTGAACTACCATTGTTCAGCAACTTTACTACTCGGCTAGTGATGAGCCAGATAGATATGTATAAGAAGTAAGAAATTTAAAACTTAATCCACAATGACACGAAATAAGTAAAATTGAAAATTCCCAATAAATATGTAAAAAAATTTAAGCAATAGTATTAAACCAGAAGAATTATAGAAGGATGTTTTAAGAGACTTTATAGTTTATATTTGTATATAATGTACTATAGTATAATTTTTCTTTACTCTTATTAACACAGTGCCAACTCTATTCTAAGTCATCATAATAAGCCCATGACGTGTGAAGACTTTTCTTTTCTAACCTTTGCTTATTTTATTTTACTTTTCTATCTTAATTTCCAAATCTAAAAAATTGGAAGTTATTTAGCTTTTAATTCATCTTCCCATCACCAATGAAGCCAAACTGGCAACCCTAAGCGTCTAGCTTTGAATCTCGTTCTTTTGGGTCTTTGTCTCACTCTTTGTGGTTATGAATTCTATGTTCTCTGTTGATTTTTATATATACTCCGTATTTCTAGATTTTAATTCTAATCTTAAATTCAGTAAAAAATGACTAATTAATTTCTTTATTTGGCAAACGGAACTTTTTACATATGGATGTGTTTTCATATATTTCATTAATGGATTTCCACTACTTCATAAGTTTTGATTTCAATGTTCTCTGTTAATTTTTATGTATATTTCGTATTTCTACAATTTAATTTCAATTTTAAATTCAGTAAAAAGTGGCTGATTAATTACTTTTCCTTTATTTGAAATTGGAATTTTTTACATATGGACGTGTTTTTGTATATTTCATTAACAGATTTCCTCTGTGTCAGGGAGGAATTTAAAATTTTTGGATGTACTATTATAGCTCAATAATTTTAGAATGATTCATCAGTTAATTATGGATTAACAGAAGCACAGTGGCTTTCCTAGAGAGGGGGGTTCAATTAAATCTCATATTTGATAACGTTTAATCAGATTTTATTTGCATTCCTCTCCCTATATATTTTGTATTTTCCATACCTATAATTCTTCTGGTTTAATAATACTATTAATTTTT